TTTTTAGACAGTTTCTTCCCTTATCTCTTTCAATGCAGTGTTCATTATTTATCTTCTCTTTTCTTAATATCCCCCCCAAGTCCCACATCAGTCCTGTTTTATAACAGTGGCATTAAGCAGTATTTGTCCTTTTGTAACTGAGGTATTTCAGCAGCATAATATCCTCCAGGGTCACCAATTTCGTATAATATCCTTGTTTTTCAGTGCTGCATAGTATTCTGTTGTGTGTATATATCACAGCTTCTCTATCCATTCATTTGTTGTAGGGCACTTGGGTTGCTTCCATCTCTGCTATTGTGAACAATGCAGCTATAAACATGGGTGTACATATATCTGTTAGGGTAGCAGTTCTAATTTCTTTAGGGTATATTCCCATTAGTCAAATAGTATTTGGGTCTAATAGTATTTCTGTTACCAACTTTTTGCCATACCGCCTTCCATAGTGGTTGTACCATTTTACACTCCCACCAACAGTAAATAAGGGTTCCAGTTTCTCTACAACCTCACCAGCATTTTTTGTTTGCTGCTCTGTTGAATTTTGCTGTTGTTATTGGGGTGACATAGTTATTCTGATTTGCATCTCTCTTAGAGCTAGGGATTTTGACTATTTCTTCATGTGTTTATTCGCTATCTGAATGTTTTTTTTGGTGAAGTGTCTGTTCATATCCAATTCCATTCTTTAATGAGATGGAAAAGGCAATTTCATCTGGAATGGAAAGAGTCCTCAATAAGCATAGTATTCCTGAAAAAAAGAAACAAGATAGGAGCATCTCACTCTCTGTTCTCAAATCCTACTACATAACCTTGGTGGCCAAGACAGCATAATACTGGTACAGTGACAGACACATAGATCATTGGGATAGAATTGAGAACCCAGAAATCAGTCCATCTACCTATGGTCAACTCACTTTTGAAATCAGTTAAGTGGGAAAATGACAGCCTTTTTAACAAAAGACGTTGGCAAAATTGGAAAACTGTCTGTAGAAAACTCAAGCAAGACCCACACCTCACAGTGTACACAAAAATCAACTCAAAGTAGATCAAGAACCTAGGAGTAAAACCAAGGATGATAAACTTGATCAGAAAAAAGCTTGGAAGAATTCCAGAAGCACTAATCCACAACATGAATAGTCTCCCAAGCATCCTGAAAAATCTACAATCAGGAGAGGATAAAATAGATGAATGAGACCTTCTTAGAATTAAATCCCTGTTGTTGTTGTTGTTGTTATGTGCCGTCGAGTCGTTTGCGACTCATAGCGACCCTATGTACAACAGCCCTAAACCCTGCTCTATCCTG